TTCAGACCCTACTGCACAATGGACACTTTTTTTTTTCTGTCGGTCATCTCTGAGCTCTTCAGCTCAAGGCGAGCAATCTACCACTTAAGCCACAGTGCCACTTTTGGTTTTCTGTTGGTTAATTGGAGATAAGAGTCTACAGACTTTCCTGCCCAGGCTGGCTTTGAATGGCAATCCTTAGATCTCAGCCTCCTGAGTAGCTAGGATTACAGGCGAGCCACTGGCACCCAGCTGGACAATTTTGACTAAGACTATCATGTCCCTCCTCCTCCTCCTCTTTGTTTTTTGTTTTGTTTTGTTGTGTTTTGTGTGTGTGTGTGTGTGTGTGTGTTGGTACTGGGGCTTGAATGCAAGGCCTCACCCTCTTGCTTTTTTGCTCAAGGCTGGTACTTTACCACTTGAACCACTCCTCCATTCATGTTTTATGCTGATTAATTGGAGATAAGAGTCTCTTGGATTTGCCTAGACTGACTTTGAACCTCAGTCCTCAGATCTCAAGCTCCTGAGTAGTTATTATAAGCCTCAGTCACCAGCACTCAGCCCATTAGCTCTTCTGAAGATTGTTCATAGGTTTAAGTAAATCTGGAAATTCCTCCTTTGTGTTTTTGTTTTTCTCCTGCCAGAGGGTGGGGTGGGGGATGAGGAAGGAAAAGGTGGCTGTGGAGAACAGTGGTGGCGTGACATTGGCTGGTGCCAGCCTGGTAGTGGTCTTGGAGTTTTGATTCAGTGACTCTTTGTTGAGGTGATGTGTTTTCCATGTGGACATGTTCAGCGAACGTGATTTGGAGAAGACTGTGATCTGAATTAAGTGCACATGTGGGAGGGTCACATGTTGGCGCCAGCTTCGTATGGCCTGGCAGTGTGAATGCTGCAGGGGTCTTCAGGGAGGACATGTTACCACTCCCAGGTGTCCTCTTCCAAGGATTACCTCACTGGTCTCAGACACAGTCAGGGTCAGGCCTGTCTCAGGCCACGTCAAGGTGTCTGACTTCCAGACCCCTCAGTTCAAAGCTGGTGGCTGGAAGTGTGAGCCTTCTGGCTGTGGGGCCCAGAAACACTTTGCAGGGTGAGCTGAGACCAGTGTTGACTCTTATTGTCATCTAGGAATGCATGCAGGTGGGGGCATTAAGACAGAGTTGGTTTTTTTTTTTTTTGCCAGTTAGGGATTTTTCTGTAGACAGTGTCTTGTAATAAACATTCGTTTTTGACTGTCAGAATGAATTTCTAAATGAATCCCATGTTGTTATGAGTTTTTATTTAAGGCAGTTGCCCAGATACTCTTTTGGTATGGTCCTGCTGATTTTGAGGTACTGTGTAGACATCCTCTTGGTCTGAGCCTGCTGACTTTGAGGTACTCATGGAATGCCAAGGGAGGTGTTGCCAGCAGGTAGCCAGGTCTGGGCTGGAGCTCAGGACAGGAATGTGGCCAGCACAGGGACATTCTGCTAAAGCCATGGTCTACCTGTGCTCTCCAAGTGAAACACACAAGGATGGAGGAGGCAAGTCTAGACAGATCTAGGTGGACCTGGGAGCCAGATGTGGAAAAGAGCAACTGGAAATAAGACTGAGGATGAAAAGCTTGAGGTAGGAGATAACCAGGAGAATGCAGAGTCCAAAGGCCATGATGCCAAATGGCCTGTGCAGGACAGTTGTGTCCCAGTCAGAAGTTGGCCTCACTGGAAGAAAGAGAAGCTACAGGAGAGCAGGAGGCAGAAAAAGGTGAGAGAGGGAAGAAGAAAGGAGCTGGAAGAGTATCTGCTATCATTAATGTTGTTAATGAGTTTATGTACCCTGAAATATAACAGGAATAAGGAACTGGAAGGAAGACGGGGCAAGGGCTCTTCGACGGCAGATTGGTGGGATGGAGCCAAGAGAGAATGGCTTCTAAGGAAGGAAGCAGAGGGTTTCTTGAAAATCCCAAGCTTAGTGGCAGGAAGCTTTCTGCTCACAGCTTCTGTTTTCCCTGGTGAATCTGGGGAATGTCCTGTGAGGGAGGGGGAGTTCCCAGGATACTCTGGAAGAACCCTGTGCAGACTTTGAGGCTCTTATTCTCACTACCTTAGCCCAGGACCTAGAGGGGGCAGCCTGGGTGAGCTGTGGGTTTAGTGCCTTGGGTGGGGGGAGAGCGGCTCACCTGGGATGTAGAGGCACCAAGCCTTTGTCTCTCCTCCAGAGCCAGCCTTGTTTCCTATGGTCAATTTTAACTTAATTATGATCAAATCAGTTCCATAGCACGGGCCTTTTTTAGGCATTAGTGACTGGAGAAGTTTTGTTCTATTACTTCACATTTTCCAAGCCCACTTCACACAGATGGAATCTCTTGTAATCCTGTAAGGCCAAACACAGAAGGAGAATCTCGCCAAAGAGGTTGGCTGAGAGTTGGTTTAGAGCAGATAGAATGGTCTGATTTCTTCTGACATGGTGATAAATCTTTCTGGACTGAGTTTAGGAGGCTCCAGTGCTGAGAAGCACTGAGCCTTCACTCACTCCACACATGCTGGCTGGGCATCAGCATCAGCCAGGGCCCATGTCTGCCTGCTGCCGTCCAACAGCTTCTTTGGCCTGCAGTCCCTGCTGCCGTCCTGGGGCCACTTTTGGCAGCCTAGCTGATGCCTAGAACACCCTTGATAGTGACGGGATTCAGAGCAAGGCATATCAGCTCCAAGTTTTTTGTGCCACCTATTTTAACAAAGCATCTTGCTGAAATAGTATTTCATGCTACCAGAGTTACAGTTTTAAACATTACTTGTCTCCTAGTGCACAGGATCCTTATGAAACTGTCAAAATCCTCAGGGTCTTAGAAATGTTCAAATCAAGCAAATTTAGGACCTGCTTTGGCTCTTACCTGGCAAAACAAGTGGGTTTTGTTCATATTTCAAGACAGGAGCAAGTGTAGAGGGAAAAGGAAGGTGGCTTTTGACATTGGAGCAAGGGCTGCACACTGCTTTCCATCCTTTGCAGCAGTGTGCCTCCAGTGTGACCAAGAGCCCGTGTGTGCCAGTCTTTCATGAATTATTCTCAAATGAGAATGTGCAGGTTCTGAAGTTTAACATTGCCCGCCACTGGGATGTGGACAGCTAGGATCTGCTGTTTGTTTGACTGTGGCACCACGTCACTCCCTTTCTGCCTTCCCAAGTTGGTGTACGAATAAGACCGCAGACTCTGAGTTAAATGTACGTGTACATATGAGTTTGGGTTTTATTAAAATATTCCAAAATTGGGAAACAACTGCACCCCAGGTCTTGAATGTCAGTTAACAAACTGAATTTTGTTTGTGATTATAACCCATCTTTTTCAGTATTGACTTTGGGATTGCCAGGGAGAGAGATCTAAAACACACACACACACACACTCACACCCTTCCAACACACACACACACACACACACACACACACACACACACACACACACCCTTCCAAATGGGCAATAAAATGTATTTGCAAAATGATTCAAGTGTTTAGTGGAAGTTGGAGTAGTAAATGCAATTGGGGCAAGACATTCACAAACATACATTCTGAGAATGAGGTGAATCATAGTAAACAGAAGTAAGTCCTTTAAGAGATTCAGATTTTGTTTTGAGAAGTAAAGTCACAGTATTCATTCTCCTTGGTTAAAAGGGATGTAGTGAGAATTACATGAGATAACACAAGTGAAGTGCCTGGTCCAGGTGGAACAGTGGCATTAGTCTTGGTGTCTATATTAGGAGGGTAAGAAGGAGCTGGCAGGGTCCAGGTTGGTTGTGTTCTTTTGAGGGGGTGACTGTGAGGACATGATGTCATTTAGAAGTGCCAAGCAGCCAGGAATAAATGTGTCTCAGTTACTCAGTGGTGTTCCATGTTCAGTTAGATCATTTGTGTGAGAGAGACATAGAGACATGCTCTCACTCTGTAGCTTTGGCTGGCCTGGAGCTCAGATCTTCCTCCCTTGGTGTCATGAGTGATTGTTGGGATTTTAGGCCTGCATCACCATCCTTCTATCCAAAGTTGCTGATAACTTCAGCTAGCTTTCCACATATACCTATCTAGGGCTTGTCTTTGGATCTTAAACTATACTCAGTGAGCCCAGTGCTTCAGACATAACTGCCTAGACATCAAGTTTGGTCTTTGGCCATTTCCTCTGTCCTCTCTGACTTCCCTCATCTGTGTTTGCTGTAGCTGATGGGCAATGGACTCTCACTAAGACACCCTAATTATATAGAGGCCTCATATGAGTTAATAGGAGGTTTGGGACCTTTAGCAGCTACCAACTACCTTTCCTTTGCTGTCAGGGCTCATGCTGGGAAAACTGGGCCTTTGGATAACAGCTTTACCTTGTTCCTTTTATATTACCTCAAGTAACCTATGAGATTGCTCCTGTCATCTCCAGGTAGGAACCAGGCTCATGTTAGGTAAAACTTAGGTGCTGTGTTTCATTAAATTATAGTGCTAATCCTGCTGGGAAAGTAGAGACGAGGTTCTTGAATGGAACACCCAAGGAAAAACCGTCCTTTGGTTATATGAGAGATGGGAGGGGCCAACTTCCAGAAGTGACCCCAGGGAACCCCAAAAGCTTCTTGGTTGCCATTGTTTTGGTCTGGTCCTTTGCATGACTCTAGAAATGGAGTTATGTGTCCAGTGAAATCTGGCATTCATCAGATTTAAAAATTTAATTTCAAGTTAGCCTAGAATCTGACAGTCAAATATACAGCAAGATGAATCCTACTCATTCAGACATTTATGCCTTTTTCAAACAGATTGCACTGTTAAGAAATGTCTCAGAGATGCTGGCAGAGTGGCAGTTGTAGGGTTAAGAATATTTTGGCACCAAAATGCAGGAAATGTGGCCATAGTCGTGGGGAAGGGTATGTTGTATCTCCTCTCCTTTGGTTATGTTGGTATGTACTGCTATCCAGCCCTCCTCTCCCACCTGGTGCACCTTCATGTCCACCTTCCAAGTTGATAGCCTGGTGTATTTTGTATCCTGGTTAGAATCTCTGTTGAAACGGACTCTGTGCTTCCTAGGAACTAGCCAGCTGTGGATGGAGTAAGAAGGAGAAACATAGTCTCGCCCCCAACGTCGTGGCCTTTACCCGGAGGTTTAACCAGGTAAGCTACATCCTTTGCGTGTACCTGTCCCAATGGCTCTGTTGTTCCTGTAAAGCTGCAGACTCCTCCAAACATGGCTTAGTCCAATCCCATGTACCAGGTATCTGGCTAGGTACCTGGCTCCAGGTTCAAACCCTTCTTCCTAAACCATCCACCTTCATGCATTTTTGTGTGATTACAATACTTTTCACAAGGTGGTGGATGGAACTGAACACAATTTCAATTTCACATAAACTAAGGTTTCGGCACTTTAAAGTGCTCAGGGAGGTCCTGCAGTGGGGACCTAGCCTCTGCCCACTCCTCCTGCCTCATTTCCCATCCTTCCCTTTCCCTCTTCTGGCCCCCCTGCCCATGCTTCCATCTCTAGTTGAGTGCATCTATCTTTCTCTGTCCTGTCATGTCCCCTGTGTGCTATTGTCCCAGCTGAGGACTCTGCGCCCCCCCCGTTTAATCTCATTCTGATCTTAGTCTGAGTGTTACCTCCTCAGGGAGCTGTTGCTGGGCCCTGAGTCTGGATGCTGTTTCCCCCTCAAATACTCACCTTGCAGTTCATTGCACCTTATACTTCTGTGTGATTCCTTACTCACTGGCCCTCATTTTTTTTTTATCACTCTGTGGTCTCTGCCTTCCTTGCTGGTCTGTGAGTGCCATGAAAGTAATACCATGCCCATCTTTTTCATCACAACATCCACACCTTGCCAAGTTGAGGCATTTGTATAATAGATGGTCAATAAATTCATGTAGAACAAATGAGTCCTATGTTTAGGTAACACTGTTTGAACTTCTTGAAGAAGAATTCTTTTTTTTTTTTTTTGGTCGGTCATGGGGCTTGAACTCTGGGCTTGGGCGTTGTCCCTGCGCTCTTCAGCTCAAGACGAGCATTCTACCGCTTGAGCCACAGCACCACTTCTGGTTTTCTAGTAGTTTATTGGCCATAAGAGTCTCACAGACTTTCCTGCCCGGGCTGGCTTTGAACCGTGATTCTCAGATCTCAGCCTCCTGAGTAGCTAGGATTACAGGCGTGAGCCACCAGTGCCTGGCTTGAAGAATTCTTTAATACTTCTCAACTCCGGATTCACCGGCCCTACACTACTCCAGACTGATTTAGTCTAGCTAGAACCTTGGCTCCAGGTGTGACAGGCTGTATCTCATTCATTGGAGTGGTGATCACTGATATGGACCAAATGAGGGGGAGAGCTTCTAGAACATAATTTTTTGTAGCAAACACCCTGCAAAACCCTTTTTGCATAAGCCAACATTCCAAATTTTTCTTCCTCATTCTTGTTTTTTTTTTTTTTAATGAGGACAGTGGCCTTGAGGTTACATAATGTGAGTGACTAGCCCTCTGGGTTCTGGGGCTCATGTTCCCTTGAGGTCTTAGCTCCAGCTGGGCCTGCCTTCACAGAAATGCCTGGTCTTGTGCATCATTGTTGCTCAATCCCTCCAGCCCTTTCTAGCCTCAGTGTCCACCCAAGGGCAGTAGGAGCCTCAGAGAGGCACCAGATTATAGTCTAAAGATCAAGGCTGGACTAGCAGTAGTATTCATTGGGGGGATGTTATAGGAGCCAAGAAAGGTCTAGATGTATCTGAATGAAGAGCTGCACACAGTTTGTTTTGGGAACCTTTTTCTTCTTTTCTCCTTCTTTTGAAAATCCTTTCCACTAAGCGTAGTCTAAAAACAAAACCAATCAAAACAAAACAAAAAACAGAACAATACAAAAAGCCCAGATGTGCACAAATTATCAAGAGATTCATAGTTTCCGTAACAAAAATATTTGACTGGGAGTCAACTCAATTCCCACCTCTGACTAACCATGGAGCTCCCTGAGGAAAGGCCATCAGGGACTCTGAAGTAATCTGTTTCACACTCTGATGCCAGCTCAGCTTGGCAAAGGCAGTGTAGCTTCTTCTGTGAACAGTTATATTTGTCCTACTCAAACCAAGTGGTGAAATGAGCCAGAAGTAAAGTTACATTTTCTCAAATCCAGTGCTCCGGGAAATGATCTTTCTGCCGGAGCTACTCAGAGAGCCAGCAACTCTTGGACATAGCTGTAGCAGCGCTGGCTTACAAACTGGCTACATGCCAGACCTGGTTCACCACTGTGGCTGCTCTCTTTGAGATGAGCTCATTGGTGGACCTGACCCATGTGAGGACAGTATGCCTCATTAGACTCCAGATAAGAGAAAGCACCATTTTCCTCATCTGTGACTGAGAGTAATGACAGTGTTTACTTGACACCATTACTATAGTTACATGAAATATATATCAAGAGCTTTTAGATTAGTATCTGCCATATAGTAGGTACCCAAATGTTTTAGAGGGAACTAAAGGAAAGTAGGAAGATCAACTGATTTGAAGGAGATTGCCAGGGACTTGAGGCTCCTTGTGGCCAAAGCAGAAGCCTAGGAGTGAGTGCCCTGTTCTGCTTGCCTGCTTCTCCATGGAGTCTGAATCCTTTGTGATTTATTCATTGAGTGGCCAGATGGAAAAGCTTGACTAGGTTCACCAAAAGTGTTCCAGGCCTGTCAACCTCACGGAGTTCAACATACCATATAGAAGTTTTCAGTCATTCTGGGGTCACTGTCATTAGTCAGGTGCTGGTGGCTCACACATGTAATCTTAGCTATTGGGAGGCTGAGAATGGAAGGATCATGGTTTGACACCAGTTTGGATAGAAAAGTTTGTAAGACCCTTCCTAACCCATAGCTGGGCCCAGAGGCCCACTCTATCACTGAAGAGGCAAGCACTCTACCACTGAGCTACCTTCCCAGCCCCATAGGTATGCTCTTTAACTAGTTCTACATAACATTGAATGGAAAGTCCTGGATAGTGCAATAAGACAAGAAAAAATAAAAGATACTCAGAACAGAGAGAAAGAACTCAAGATGTCTTAACTCATAGTTTTTGTGATTGTCTATATAAAAGTTCCCAAGAAATCTTTTTTTCAAAACCCTCCTGGAATTAACTAAAGTATAACTAAAGTAAAACACCGGGTCATTATACTGAAGTCAGTTGTTTTCCTGTATATCAGAAATGAAGAAATAGAATTTGAAATGAAAAACAATAGTAACAACCCAAAACAAAAACACTGTTTTTGATAGCACTAAAACAAAACTAGGGTAATTTATCTTACAAAATATGTGCAAGTTTATATGTGGAAAACTACGAAACACTGTTGAAAGTAATCAGAATACATCTGAACAAATGGAGAGATATGCCATCTTTATGGATCAAAACATTCATTATTGTTAAGATGCCTGTTCTGCCTTTTTTACCAAGATGGAGCTGAAAGCAAAGAAGGAAGCTCCCACCCATCCCAAAGCTGAAGCTGAGATGGCAGACACACACTGCCAAGAAAGCAATGCTAAGAGGCATCCATAGCCACAAAATGAAGATACTAATGTCACTGACCTTGCAGCAACCTAAGACTTTGCAGATCTGGGGGCAGCTCTATACCCTTGGAAGAGTGTCCTCAGGAGAAGCAAGCTTAACCCCTATGCCATTATCAGCTTCTCCCTAGCCACTGAGTTAGCCATAAAGAAGACAGAATACAGCAACCCACTTATGTTCTTTGTGAATGTCAAGGCCAGCAAGCATCAGATCAAACAGGCTGTGAAGAAGCTCTTGATCAGGCCTGCCTATGATATTGAGATGACACATGTCCCAATAGAAAGATGGGTAAAGCACTTGAGCAGGCAATTCTTCAGCAGTACAAATGGCTTATAATTATTTGGAACAGAAAATGTGCACTGAAAAAAATGCAAAAAAAAGTTAACTGGATGGTCATGAAAAAAAATGCTAACCAGTTACAGTGTGATACCATTTTGTCTACTGGGTTAGTAAAGAGGAAAAGAATTTTACCAACTGGTTTTGGCTGGTATAGGAAAACATGGATCTGTTTAAACTTGTTGATGGATCAAAGTCAAACCTTTTGGAAGCCAAGTTTTATATATATATATATATATATATATATATATGAAAAGATGTACACTTTTATTCATTTCACCTTACAAGAATTTATTCTCAGACTTTAATAAAAAGTATACAAGAGGGGAAGGGAAATAACAAAATGCTGAAATAAGGATACAGGATGACCCATTGTAACAATGAGATATCCAAGACACTATGCTGAAAAATAACTTTACAACTTTGTGGGGAAGTGGGGTAGGAGTTGGGGAGGTGGGGAGGGAAGGGATGGTAGGGAAAAAACAAAGGAGGGGGTAACAATGCTCTACAGGAAATGGATTCATTACCTTGCTCATGTAACTGTAACCCTTCTGTACAGTATCTTTACAATAAGAAACATATATTTTAAAATATTCAAGGTGCAAAGGCGTTTGCTACAGTATTATTTACCACAATAAAATAATTAGAAATGGCCTGCCCAACAGTAGGAGCTTACTTCAGTCATTGGTGATGCATCTCTGTGATGATGTACTTGGACCTGTAAAAAACGGCAGACAAATAGTGACTTACAAAAGTTCTTATGACATATGACTAATGTTCACCAGTTTTGTTGAGAAAGACAACGTATGTAGTATATATGGAAAAAAGAGTGGGAGGACATATATTACCCTGTCATCATGTTCATCTGTACGTGAGACTAGTAAGTTTGCAAATGGTTCTTTGTCCTTATCTCTATTTGCCTTATTTTCTGTATCAAGTGTCTGTGAAATTTTGTAGTTAAAGAAGAGAGTAAAATCTTAAGGGGCTGGGAAGGTGGCTCAGTGGTAGAGCGCTTGCCTTGCATGCATGAGGCCCTGGGTTTGATTCCTCAGCACCACATAAGCAGGAAAAAAAAAAAAAAGCTGGAAGTGGCGCTGTGGCTCAAGTGGTAGAACGCTAGCCTTGAGCTGAAGAGCTGAGGGACAGCACCCAGGCCCAGAGTTCAGGCCCCACGACCGGACCCCCCCCCCTAAAAAAAATCTTAAGACTGCTGCTCTACCCATTTCATCTTTCTCATCTGGCCCTTCTCATCTCCTTCACTGTGGCCCTCTTCAGGCCCCTCTTCTCTCTTACCATTGCCTTAGTGTTATAGCTAGTGACCCTGCCCATCAGAATGATCTCACGTGTTGCTCGTCAGAAGCCTCTGAATTCCCCACATCTTTCCTTGCTCCAGGACCCTTGGTCTGTTCCAGTTTCATCTGCCCTCCCTTTTGTACCCCACAGAGCTCCTTCAGGCCTGTCAGGCACTGCTAGTCCTAGTCATGGTATCTACAGTCATACCTCAGACCTGTTTTGCTGTAAGATCTTGCCATGTTCCAGAGCCTGCCCTCATCAGTCATTACTCCCCATTCTATGGTTCACCTGCTTTGAACTTCTTCACTGGCCATTATCACAGTTGCTTTCCAGTTCAGAGATTTCTGGAGAGTTTTGCTTCCTCCCTTGGTCACTTTGGTGCCAGATAAGGTGTGGACTTCAGTGGGGGTATCACATAACTCTGTTGAATCAAATTGTTTCATCAGAGCTGCTACTACACACTGTGTGTTGCTGCAGATCCAAAGTCAACTCTGTCATTTTCCAAAATTTTGCCAGAAAAAAAGTGAGGTTTTGGCAGGCAAGAATCTGTTAAATTATCATATACATATAAAGCAGCACACTTGAGATTATGTGGCATGAGAATTGTACATATTAAAATATATGATCACTGAATTTACTGTTTGGTACTTAGAAGAACTTTCTTCCATAGCTGGCTAGTAAACATTTGAGACTGAATTTAATTTTGGCAATTCCTTGGAAAAAATGATTCTATGGAAACCCAGGCGTGTCCTGGGGGTAACCACCAGTAATTGCACTGAAGAAAACATTTTCTAATGCTCCTGCTTAATATAAAATGCAAACTGTTGATTCCTGGTTTCCCTTTCCTATTTCCTCTTTGAGAAGGGACAGTTTTCCACTCAGGAGACCTTCCTTTATTGCAACAGCAAGCTTGCAATGTGAATTTCCGGCCAGCCTCTGCTTTCTCTAGTTGTGTGTGTGGGGGGATGCTGCTGCCTTGCCTTCCTCTTCATGCACACCCCCCCTGCTATGCTGTGCCAGTGCACCCTCTCTCCTTTTACTGTGGCGGTGGCACTCTTTGGCATGTGTTTCACACAATACTGTTGTGATGGGAATGAGGCATAACAAGGAAAGCTAGCTGTTTCCCAGCAGCTCTTGGCTGCCCCTTCCCTGTGTTTTCTTGAGGTGCTGTGAGTCAGCCTGTTCCCACCAATAGCCCCAGCAGCTCAGCACTATGGCTGTATGTGAGAGGTCAGGCAAGAATGAGGATCTTCACTGAAGCTGCTAGCCCAGTCTTTGGCATGTGCTAGCTACAGAAGAACAAACCCATAGCTTGGGTTGTTTCGTGGAACTTCGAAAGACACTTCTGTGTTGTATATAATTGTTAATCCTCTCTTAGAAAATTAAATTTGTTGCATTTGTGTAATATTGGCAAAACCTCCTTATCTTGAACCTGGCATGCCATATGGACTCATGGGTGTTACTGTCAGTGTATATTCCTTTGTCTGACCGTTTCCATCCCTCTATCTACTCTCCCGTTATCCATGGCCTCATCTGGAGTCCAGGAGTCCAGACCAAATCATCTCCCAATTCCCTGAAGCCCCTGCAGAAACTTTTTTTTCTTTCAAAATTTGTATTTATTTCTTGCTGGGGCTTCAACTTGGGGCCTAGGCACTGTACTGAGCTTTTTTTTTGCTCAATCCTAGAGCTTTACCACTTGACCCACAGCATCACTTCCAGCTTTTTCTGAGTGGTTTATTGAAGATAAGAGCCACATACTTTCCTGCCCTGGCTGACTTCGAATTATGATCTTCAGATCTCAGCCTCCTGAGTAGCCAGGATTACAGGCATGAGCCACTGGAACCTGGCCCTGCAGAGACTTTCATGTCTTGAGGACCCAGTCCTCCCCTTGGTGATGGCAGAGGGTCACTGGGAACAGGGTCCCCAGGGATCCGGGTTCAGATGCCATAAGGAACTCAACCTCATGTGACCTTAGGCCATGCTCTTACACCTTCCTGGCCTCCCAGAAATCCCACAGCAGCAGTGGGCAAGGGTGATGGCAGTTAACAATTTGTCTCTGTGTGTATGTTTGTGTATTGCAGGTCAGTTTTTGGGTTGTACGAGAAATTCTAACAGCACAGACTTTAAAAATAAGGGCAGAAATCCTGAGCCATTTTGTGAAAATAGCCAAGGTAAGCTGTTATATTATTTTTAATGTATTTTTGTCTCAAAATGTATTTCCTCAGTACTTTGGATAGTGTTTTACTCTGAGCCTGCTGGACAAGGTCCAATAGTGTTGGGGGCAGTAGGGGAGGTACCACCTGACCTTCCCAGGCAGAGCCTGTTGGAAGACCCACCTGGCTTCCTATACCCCTGTACCCTGTTTGTGCTTTGGCAGCATCCCCCACTATCCCTTAATTTCATCAGACAACCATTCTCCTTACCTGGGTTTTCAGTACTTCCACATTGTCCTGGACTCTCTTCATCCTCCTTTAGACCCTGGCAGTGCCGAGGGTGTACTTAGTACCTGTGCCTGTGATCTCTTACAGCATGCATAATTGTGTTTCTAGTCATCAGATTCCAACCACCCCACCCTGAACTAAGACCAGAGCCAGGTGGCCCTGCCCCTTATGCCCACCTACTACCCCCTGGCCTCATAGTTTCTGCCCTTGTGGCTTGTTGGATCCCTTTCTCCTCTTTCCTCATGTAATCTGCTAGCTCATGGCTGTTCCAGACCATTGTCAAATCAGGTAGCTACTTCTTGTGCCTTTCTCCCACCACCCGTTTGCCAGGCTCCAGAAGCATTATTCTGCCTTGGTTCGGTGTTTTCTTTGTGTGTACAGGTGTTGTCTTCCCACCTGCATCTCCAGAAAGCTGTCCTGAACTGAGCTCTTCTGTCCCAGACAGTGTAGCAGCTCCTATACTAGTGGGACCACACCCAATGCTCACATGGTATCATTCCATCTGCAGAGTAAGAAGGGGACTTAAGGAGATGACATGTCATACTCAGGCCCCAAGCTAGTCAGTGACAGAACAGCAATCAAAGCCATGTCTCACTGCCTTCAGAGGAGCAGCTCTGCTGCCCCTCACAGGAAGATTAAGCTTGTCCAGCTATAAGAGATGTTAGGGACAGTGGTCACTGTTAGGTTTTTAAAAAGAGGTAGCCGAGTAAGAACAGCAGCATGCACGTGGTATTTAGGTAAGGGGTAGGTTTATTCATCGTTCCGACTGGCACCAGGCCATCTTGGTCCTCCACGAGGTGGGGAAAGGCCTGGGAAAGAGAGCTGGGAAAGAGAGAGAAAAGAGAGAAAGCTAGAAAAGAGAGCTCTGGGAAAGGTGGGAAAGAGAGAGCTAGGAAAGGGAAGGGAGCTGAGAAAGAGCTACAAATGAGCAGAGAGAGAGCTAGAAAAGAGAAGGGAGCTGGGAAAGAGAAGAGAAGGAAAGAGCTGAGAAAGAGCTAGAAAAGAGCAGAGAGAGGGCATCTGGGTCTGGGCTAGGCCTTATCTAGGGTATGGTGTGGCCACATCAAATTCAGATGTGACCTCAGCAGATGCAGATGTGACCTCTTCCAGGTGTCCCAGTTGCCTAGGTAATGCAGGTACTGGGTGGAGACTTTGCTGCGAGGAAGGTGGAGTCTGCTAGCCATCCAGGAGCGGACCTTACAGTCACGGTGATGTCCCATGGAGTCTCCTCACTGCCTGGAACTGGTGCTTGGCTCAATGCTACTTGTCCCTTCCCCTCAATTCTATGCTGAGCCAGAATGGGGAGTGGGATGTGGTTCTAGCTCTCCTGGGACTTGCAGTTTGGAACTGAGTTATAGTCGTCACTCAAGGGTACAGAATCCTTTCTCCTTAACCACTGCCCTTTCCTGGACTTCAGATTGTCATGCTGGCCCTGAACCCTGGGGGTATCCCTGGGCAACCCTCCTTTCTGGGCCTTGATTTTTTCATCTGGAAAATGGAAGTGGTGAAAAATTCCCAGAGACTTCTCAGCTTTAGAAAGAAATTTGGTCATAGGCATAGCAATTGAGATGTTAGAATGAAATTAAGTTCACTTAGAGAATCTATTATTACACACAGGAAGCAGTTTGAGATTGTAACAAGATGTACTAAATAAAACATTAACTTGTGTGGTTAAAGTGACTTTTCCAGTAAGAACAGAGCTACAAGAGACAGGCTTAAGGGCTTTTCCTCAATTTTTCATTATACCTGATGTGTGCTGAGCACTGTCCTGGGTACTGACAACATGGTGGTATCTGCTATCAGGGAACACAAGGCAGACAGTGAAGTAAAAATAAGTACAGTCCAAGTGCAAAGGGATGTACAGACAGAACCTATGTGGGAGCACAGACATTAGTCCCCACACTTCTTAGATTTGCAAACATGGTGAGGAAAGGCATTTTAGAGGAAATGGCATCAGAGCATCCCAAGATAAGGGAGGAGAAAAGGAGTCTTCCATACAGAGAGGACCAAGCCTCACCTTGTACTGAATATGCATCCCAGGCCCAGGCACTGCCTTAGCTGGTGACAGGCACCATTTCATGCAGGGCAGGTTCCATGACTACCTTCCTAGTTTTAACTACAAGGACACCAATACTCAAAGAATTGGGTAACTTGCTGTAGGAAATGTAAGTCGAGGGAGCTGGGATTGGTAGCAGGTCTTTGGGTTCCACAAAGCCAGCTCACTAAGCTTGGGTTCACTGCCTCCTAAGAATGAGACACCGACATGGTTCCTGTTAGCAAGTTTCCCCAGTATAAAACCAAGAACACAGCAATTGCATTTTTCTGCACTGACTCTGCTATGGCTCATTCTGTGGCCCTCCACAGTAAGGGACTTGTCTGCGACTGAATTGACTCCAAATGTTCTCACTCTCACTGGTTCAAAGGGATGGGGAAGCGGGGAGCAGGAGCTTTGCCTTTCCAGCTGAGAGAGATTATGGAGATTGATAACATCTTTCCTTGGGCTCTTTCTTGTTGGGTGTTAAGGTAATCACAATGGAACCCACTGATGCTTGCCGGCAGGGCCAGAGTCAGCTTACAGAAGCCTGTTGGGACCAGTTCAGATTCCTCTAAAAAAGGACTATAAAGGGATTATCAGATCTCATCTCTAGCCATGTTTCTGTCCGGCAACCAGATGATCAGCCTAGGAAAATTTCCAAGTCTTTTAGATGCAAGCTCACCTTTTGACAATTGAGAGACATAGAACATATGGTTCCTATGAACTTCTTAGAACTATATTTTCTACATGAGATATTTTTAAGTGTAATTGAATTTCATAAATATGACAACATTTGGTAATACTTGAGCATGTTTTTCTTTTGTTGTTTATAGCAGCAAAATAATGTATTCCATATCTTTTTTTTTTCCAGAAACTTCTAGAACTCAACAACCTTCATTCTCTCATGTCTGTGGTATCAGCATTACAAAGTGCTCCCATCTTTCGGCTGACAAAAACTTGGGCTGTAAGTTAATCTCCTTAAGTCTGTCCCTTTGATTTCTGAGGTCCTTTCATTGCTGAAGACCTGCATGGCTTAAGCCTCAGGCTTTCCCTGGCTGCACTCTTCTAGGGAAAGTTACTGTTGGTTAATGAAATGTTCTTGAAGCATCTTCATGGCTTCAGTGGCTCTAAGCACCTTTTTGGTTTAAGGGTTGGGTAGCTGTGCTCAGATAGCTGGGGTTGAAGCCCCTAGTGGGGATCTTTCTGGACCCCTATGTGCTTGTTGTTATCCCTAATGGCCAAGTCCGTGCATAACTTCTGCCTTCCGCTTGATCACACTTATCTCTGCCAGGCTACAAGCTGCACTTGGAAAGGTCTCTGGGCTGATAGTTTGCAGCTGCCCTGGGTCACTGGCCATATTGCCCAGTTTCTCTAGAGAAACCTGTGACCCTAATATAGGAAAAAGTGATTTTCTTCTTCTTTTCTTTTTTTTTTTTCTTTCCTGAGGCCATGGATAATTTCAGCTCAGAGGTGGAGTCTGATAGTTATATAATTGAGTCTGTAGGAAAGTTTTTCTGCTGTAAAAATACTTTGAAAATATCTCAGACCTCTTTATCCTTCTCAGTTGGCCCAGCGCCTGACTTGGGGGAAGTAATTGCTATTTCCATAGCTCATTAGTATTCACCTCTTGGCCCGCTTGCCTGGTCCAGGGGCTCTCTCAGACATATAGCCCAAGCCTTTCAAGACCTGTTTATATCCCACTGCACTGACAGGAACTGTATGGAATTGTCAGATGTACTTCAACAACTCATTTCCGACCTTCTTTCTGCCAATTGTAGGGCTGGGCTCTGTTCCTACTTGGCTGGCTTAAGGAACCTTTAAAATACTTAAGAAGTATGTTGTAGGTGATCAGAAATGGACCTGTTTCTTTGAATTGAAACTTTCCATTGATTTAGCCCTAGCAGAGTGGGGCCAGAGGTGTTAGCCTGGAGACCTGGAACTAGGTTTGTGTTCAGGCACCATTCAGAGTGAGGGGCTTGTTTTCCATCAGTGCTCAGGATAGCTAATGTAGAATAACAGTTTTCTATCAGTGCTTTGAGGAGCCCTGAGGTCCTTAGAGTTACCTTAGGGCTTCCCAGGACTGAGGGAGAGGAGCAAGGGCACCAAGCACATAACCCAGGCCCATTTCTATCAGGAAGTCTTATTTGTGCCAGTTTTGGGTATTGAGCTTCTGGTGAATTACAGCTGAGCAATGGCTTTGGAGATTGAAAGTAAGGTTGGAAGCTACTGATTTCTTCAGTGGCTGCCAGTCCTGTGATTTCAAGGCCATCTGAACGGTGAGACTTTTTTCTAAAGTTGCTTGGAAATTCTTTTTCAAATGAATTTTCCATCATTTGATGCTGTTATTGTTTCTTGGGCTTCCAGTAGCTGTGTAGCAACTGGGAGCACTGTGTTTTGTATCTTCTCATAGACTTTGCTGTGAGCAATACTGTGACTCTCAGGGGCCCCTAGGAGCTACAGAGTCATTGAGGGCAGAGCAAGTGAAGCATCCCAAACAGCCTGAGCTATCTAAGACCCCTGCACAGAGATGTGACAGGCAGGGCTCATCCATGAAGGTCTTCATAGGCCTCTCCAAAGGATGCTTTCTGCTGCCAGGTCCATGAGGGCAGCATTAGGACAGAGCAATACCAGGACTTCCCTGCTTGGCTGGTGAGCACTGCTCAGTGGGGCTCAGCCTGAACTGAAGCCAGTGAGTCTGTGCTGCAATGAAAATTAACTTGCATGGCTTCTCGGAAGGCTAGAGTTCAACACCTATCCAGGACCTAACAAAGGTGTACCCCTTCTCCTAGCTCCTCTCCAACCACATGGATTATTTTCCTGCATGGATTTGCCAGAATGAAAACATATAAAATGGAAGTCCTAAATTCTTTACACATACTAACTCCTTTAATTCTGGCAGCTATCCATAGAGGTAGGTAGTGAGGTCATTCTCATTCACATGTGAGGAAACAGACTCAGTAGGGTGGAGTGATTTCCTCAGGGCCAAGGCTAAATGGCCAAGTTGTCTGGCTGCACAGTTCTCAACCTCAGTCATGGCCAAGTTGTCTGGCTGCACAGTTCTCAACCTCAGTCATCAAACCCCACTGAGTAGAACGGGACAGTTCCTAACTACCACCTGCCTCTCAAAAATGGTACAAGCAAGCCAGGCACCAGTGGCTCACACCTGTAATCCTAGCTACTAAAAAGGTTGATATCTGAAGATCATGTTCAAAGCCAGCCTAGGCAGGAAAGGCTGTGAGACACTTATTTCAAGTTAACTACCAGTGGTGTTGTGGCTCAGAGTGGTAGTGCGCTAGCCTTGAGCGAAAGAGCTCAGGAACAATCCCCAGGCCCCAAACTCAGCCCCGCTTCTTCCCAAAAAGTACAAGCACTGATTAAAATACTTTTCTCCTCTATCAAAAGTGAAGCATTAGGACATAGTTGCTAAACTAGAAAGACAGCTAACTAATTGGGAAAAGATCTTTACTAGTACTACATCAAAAGCCTAACTTCCAATATATACAAGGAGCTCACGAAACTAGCCCTTCCCAAACTTGATACAGCAATTACTAAATGGGCAAGGGAGCTAAGAAAAGAATTCTCAGAGGAGGTAAGAATGGCAAAACACATGAGGAAATACTCATCATCCCTGGCCATAAAGGAAATGCAAATCAAAACAACCATGAGATATAGTCTTACCCCAGTTAGATTGGCCTACATTTTGAATTCTGACAGTAACAAATGCTGGCAGGGATGTGGGGATAAAGAAACACTACTGTGCTGCTGGTGGGAATGTAAATTAGTACAACCACTCTGAAAAGCAATCTGGAGTTTCTCAAAAAACTTAAAATAGACCTTCCCTATGACTCAGCCATACTACTCCTAGGCATCTACTCTGAGCATCATCAGTGAGGATATGACAATGACACCTACATATCCATGCTCACTGCCACACTATTAATAATAGCCAAGACATGGAAACAACCCAGATATCCCACAGCAGATGAGTGTATCCAACAACTATGGTCACTATATACAATGGAATTTTACATAGCCATTAGAAAGAATAAAATAATGTCATTTGCAGGGAAATGGATGGAACAAGAACAAATCTTGTTAAATGAGGTAAGTCAAGATCAGAGAGACAAATGCCATATGTTCTTCCTAATATGCGGAAGTTAGACCTAAAATGCAATGGGACATGACAAAATATACAAAATTCTACGTACTCACATACAGTGAGACCAAAAGAGGAGAGTCTTAGGAGAATCCCACAAAGGTGTAATGCCCAAGTGCACATAAAATATATAAAACAAGATACATACTGAAATGAACTCCAAAGATATGGAAACAAAGAACTTTTTTCTTAAAATTTTTTTTCTTTTTCTGGTAACTGTATTTTTTACCTTATATATGATGTATTCATGTATACATCTGCAGGAGGGTAGGGGGAGGACACAGAATCAGAGGAAAAGGGGTGAAAAAGTGCAGCAGTGGCATGCACTGACATTGATAAAAGTGAACTATGCAACTCATGGGTGGAGATGGGAGAGAGGGTAGGGAGAGAATGAGGGAACACATGATACTATGTGAAAGGAAATGTACTTATTATCTGACATATATAATGGTAACTCAACTGTGTATCACATCTAAACTACAATAAAGTAAACTAGAGGGGGGGGGGAAAGCGAAGCATTAAGAACTTTGAAGATAAGCTAGGTTACTGTCGGTGCCTCCCTAAGCCTTTAGGCCTTTGTCTTGAACATGGCTATTTCTGGCCAGCACCTTGTTGCCACAGCACAGCAGAAAGAGAAGCCAGAGGCCCTCATGGAGGGCACCAATGGCCAGAAGCCAGAGAGTGGCAACCATGCTATGCAGGCTATACCTTAAAGTGTGAGACAAACTATCTTTTCAATCAAAGTTGAGTTGTTTAAAAGTTCCTGCTTTGGCCAGGTGGCTTGGCTTTTGTTGATCATTCTGCTATAATAATATCAGCAAGACAAGAAAGGAAAAGAGAAACTGCTTTGGGATAAGGAAAGATTTTTGAAATGTAAGGTTTTGTCTTAACAGGTTGTTCCAAGATGGAATTAAGAGACACCTCAGATTGTTCAAGGCATAGCAGAAAGTGTGGGTATGTTTTGAGAATGTTCGTGTACCATTAATCTTATTTCAAAGTTTTTTAATGGTCACCTTACTTAACTACATCTTTCCTTCTTCAAACTAACAAGTCTTGAGCAGATTGTGAACCTGAGCTCAACCAATCCAAGCAGAAGAGCAGGACCGGCTGTGTGAGGGATAAATAGGGAGCAGCCGGCCTGCTCTGTGTGCTTGCTTGTTAGATTTTTAGCTGATGGTGCACCCTTCTATGCAGAAGAAATATTTTCCTTGAGTAGAAGTGGGATGGATGGGGGCTATAGACATGCAAGGAGACCTGTTACTTGTCCATGCAATGGATGACCTTTAATGAGGATCAGTAAGTCACTGATCTGCCCATGGCTGGCTTCTGAGGGAAAGGAGTTGGAGTTTGTTGATAGGATAGACTGACTCTGTGCACAGGCCTATACACAGTAGGTTCTCAATAAATGCTGGCTGGATATGCAGAGTCATAGCTGGCCTGGAAAAACACACAGGGAATGGTTTATTCTAGTACTGGAGTCACTTTGTAATATTTGTCTTCCTCAAAGCTATGAAACCTACACAAGAAGTTGTATCAGCCAATTCCGATTTCCTGAGTACACATCACCTTGCGGCTCGCATTCATTCTGCAGATCAAATATTTATCAAACGCCTTGTCTGTGCCAGGCCCCAGACTGCAGCCAACGCCCTGTCCTCATGGTTTTCACTTTATCCAGGGCAGATAGATGTTATTCAGGAAGGATGAACATATGCCTGGTCTGGCTGCCTCAAGAAGTGATCCATAGATGTGGTTGAATACATTAAATGATGAGCAAGGAATGACAGGATAGGAGTAAAAGTAACTCAGAC